CCAAGCCATGGAATTTTCAGTAAGCTCACATGCATGTGAAAGTTATACAGTAAGGAGGACTGTAAAAGAATTGATGCATTTGAGTTATGGTGTCAGAGAAAATATTAAAGGTATCATGGGCTACAAGAATAACAAACAAGTCTGTGTTGGAGAAAGTATAACCAGAAAGCTCCTTAGAAGCCAAGATGAACACACTTCTTCTCACATACTTCAGACATATTATGCTGAAGAACCAGTCCCTGGAGAAGGACATCATGCTTGTTAAAATGGAGGGTCAGCGGAAAAGAGGAAGACCCCAACGAGATGGATTGGCACAGTGGCAGCAGCAATGGGCTCAAGGATAGCGGCAGTTGTGAGGATGCAGTCGGACTGGGCAGTGTTTCCTTCTGCTGTCCATGGGATATCTCTATCCATTAGAATCGACTCTATGGTACCTCACAACAGCAAGAAGACTCAAAGCTATGGCCGTGGATTTGGAATTTTGATTTTATGTCTGTGAACTATACTTCCCAAGGTTTTCATAATGCGAAAGGAAAACACTGGAGGGTTCATTGTGAAGGGGCAGGACAAAGCTAATAGTTCATATAAACACCTGCCCTGGGATTCTGATGTATGGTTTCCGCCCACATTAAGGACACTGCAGAGGTGGATGAGTCTGCACATTCGTTTCTTTTCAGGGTCCTTTTTTAAGGATGGAGGAGTTGTTGCTCCCATCATGTCTCCCTGGAAGCACTCAGATACACACAGTGTTCTGATGAGCCCATGGGGTGGTCCAGCCCCTGCTCCCAGATCCCACAGAGGGAAAGCTATGTTTGCCCAGGAGTGTTTATGCCACAGTGCAGTGTGGTGCTCAGAGAAGGTGGTCCACAGCTCTCCTCTGAGAACATGCTCCATCCCGGCAAACGTCCAGGGATGATAGTCGCTATATGACCATCTCTGTTGACTAGAATGTGGCGACCTCATGTGTCTTTATCAGATGCTCAGGGTCCCTCCACCCAGGTGAGCAGGTGGGACACAGCATCCTGGACAGCTGAGCTGATGTCCCCCTCCATCCTGACTCTCCTGAGGAGGGAAGGGGGTCCTGACTGCATAGAAGACCATTCACCCCGAGTGCCCCACCCAGCCCAGGTTACCCTGCTGTCTCCAGTCTCCCAGCACCTGCCCCCTCGAACCTAGTCTGTAGCTTAGTGGTTTATTGTACTTCTCGGTTACCTGAACTTCAGTCCACGGGGGCTTGTGTCTGCTGATTGGCTCCAGCAGGGAGGTCGGCACCTGACTTAGTTGTGGGAGTAACTGACGTCATGCCTCTCTGGGGCTCTCACACCTGTGTCCTGTGTTGCTCCTTAGTTCGAGATGCTGACGGGTTCGCTGCCGTTCCAGGGGAAGGACCGCAAGGAGACCATGTCCCTCATCCTCAAGTGAGTATGTGCACCCCTGGAACCCATCAGCATTCCCTGTGCTCAGTCTCCGAGGACAGACTGCTACGCAGGCCACAGCATCCCTCTTCCTGGGGTTTCCAACATCCAGCATGGGTGGGACACATGGCTGGCTTGTCTGATGAACATGGAGAGAGTGCCTGTCCGTGAAAACTGTCTGAATTGAGCTGACAGGGGTGAGAGTGTTAGATGGGATACTGCTTGGCCTTCCAGAATGAAGTCCAGATTCTAAAAGGCGGGGAATTTGGAGCTCAGTGGTGGCCTACCTGAAGTGTGGGAATGAGTGTAATATAGACATTATATATTACATAACGGAGGGATGGAATAAACACATTGTTTTCTACTTACTTTTCACAAGGACCACTGACAGATTAAATGGGCATCTCTCTAGAAACACAGTGAGACATGGCTGAACCCATGTGGACCTGGTGTGTACATAGACGTGGGCATGTGGGCCCAGTGTGTACATAGACGTGGGCATGTGGGCCTGGTGTGTACATAGACGTGGGCATGTGGGCCCGGTGTGTATATAGACGTGGGCATGTGGGCCTGGTGTGTACATAGACGTGGGCATGTGGGCCCGGTGTGTACATAGATGTGGGCAGGTCCATCCGCAGGTAGAGCTCATGAAGGGTCCGTGTGGGCCTGGTGTGTACATAGACATAGGCAGGTCCATCTGCAGGTAGAGCTCATGAAGGGTCCATGTGGGCCTGGTGTGTACATAGACGTGGGCATGTGGGCCCAGTGTGTACATAGACGTGGGCAGGTCCATCCGCAGGTACAACTCCACTAGAATGACGCAGATGGCGCTGTAACTGGGCTGGAGAGGACTTTACAAGCAGGTGATGGGGACTCCATTCCTGCCCCAGTGGAGAGCAGAGTCTGGATTCCTGAGGGGACAAGCCCGTCCTGCCCCCTGAGGAGTCATGTGCTTTCCATAGGTCCGGCTGCAGGCTGGCTCTCTCTGAGTTAGGTCACATGGACCAGGAGGTCCTCCTTGGGCTCTCAGCATTTTCCTGGAGTAGAGCCCAAGAGAGGAGGGTCCACACCACCACCCCCTCACAGCAGCAAGAGGACAAATGGCCCCTGTAAGGGAAGGAGCCAAAAGTCCGTCATTTTGATACAAAACCTACATGTTTGGAGATGCAACCCACCCTGCATGTCTGTGTTCTGCTCTCTGCCTGCAGATGCTGGGAGGTTGAGAGGTCCTGGTGCTGCCAAATTGGGACCAGAGCCCACCCCCCACCTCCACCTTTAAACTGAAGTGTTTTCCCCCAGGATTCACACCGAGGCCCATTTTTACTGCATTGAGACTCTGTCCTTGTTGAGGGAGAGTAAGACCCGTTCCTTTTTCCAAGGCTCGAGAAGTTCCCTACACCAGTACCCACTTACCAGTACGTACGGTCCAGTTGGAAGGACGGGAGTTGGAAGGGTCAGCCCAGCCCTTGAGAGCAGGGGTTCTCAAAGTTCGTCCAGGACCCCACCAGGGTACGGGTCCGATAGGCTGTTTTTCAGGTACTTCCTTGGCTGGAGGACAGGCAGGTGTAAAGTGGGTACAAGCATCAGGTCATGAGTCAAGAGTGGAAGAGATTTTCCAAACAATGGAACTACAAATACCACGCTTGTCGCTGGACATTTTCCTTTAAAATGCTATTTATATAAAGTTCATGGAATTCTTTGAGTGGTTTTTAAATGAATAATTGATTAACAGTTTCAAAGGTTTATAGTTTTGATTTCTAATGCAGTCAGTATGAATAGATCCAAGGGGGCTTCAACAGTTCATGGAAAGTTTCCATTATCTTCAATTCCATTTTCCCAGCAACTTGTTAAAGCCCCCCTCATTAAAAACCTTTTGATGTCCTCAGGAACTTTTTAAGAGGTTGTTGTTGCTGTTAAGTGCCATCGAGTCAGTTCTGACCCATAGCGACCCTGTATAGGGTTTCTGAGGAGTGGCTGGTGAGCTTGAACCACCGACCTTGTGGTTCAAACTGATTTATGTAGTCCGGCGCATTAACCCACAGCACCATACCAGTTTAAAGAGTTCTAAGTCCAAAAGTGTGGAACTGAAGACAGTTTTGTTGGATGAGGCACCAACAGGAACACTGATTACAGGACTGTGGTAAAACCTTGCCTGGTCATTGCTCACCCTTCTTATGCTGAATCGCATTCTGTTTTCCAGAGCCAAGCTAGGGATGCCCCAGTTCCTCAGCACAGAAGCCCAAAGTCTGCTGAGAGCCCTCTTCAAACGGAACCCCTGCAACCGACTAGGTATGAGTCCCCGGGAGCCCGCTGCCCCGTCTGGAGGTATCTGATGTTGTTGTTAACTACCGTCCAGTTGGCGCTGACTCACGGACACCTCATATAGACAGAACTATGCACTGCCCAGTCCTCACCCTCATGATGATCCTTGGACAAGCATAGTGGGTCTGCTTTGGGTTGTGACTTGTCTCTGTCCAGTTCATGGAGACTGTCCCTCATTTTGCTGACCCTCTCCCAAACACGATGTCCTTTTCTAGCCATGGGTCCTTCCTGAAGTGAGATAGCGGAGTCTTGATATTCTCATTTCTAAGGAGCACGGCATTTCTTCTAAGGTTGATTTGTTTGTTCCTCTAGCTCAGCCCTAAACCCTAACCGGCTTCTTTCTCTTATTGACTTCATTCAAAACCAAGAGTGGGGGCACCGCCACACATGGTCTGAGCGTCTAGGACCTGGAATCTGTCTGAAATTTACGAGACTCGCAGGAACTACAAAGTGCTATTACTGGACAGTCACTATTTCTGCACCAAATGGTGGTGATTTCTTCTACCTACTTTACTTCCCCAGTTAGGGGAACTTTACGGACTCAGGACAGACCGATTGACAATCTGCTTGTCATTCAGTCCCCTTCATGAAGAATTCTCATCTAAACTAAAGTGTATGAATATCACTGAGGTAGGAATTCAATCTCAAATCATTCTTTACTTAATTTCCTAGTTACTTTAGATGGCAACTCTCCCACAATGTTACCGGACATGTGAAAAAATCCACGTTGTAAACTTTTCACAGTGCATCTGCGGTCTTTTCCTCTTCCCAAAGCCTCCCACCACCCAGTCAAACTATTCCTCGTTGTTGCCAAGTACGTCCTCCAAGAACAGCAGCAATGAGAGGCTTTGTCCATGGCAGGGAGGGTCACATGAGAAGCTCACATGTGGGAAACGCTATGAAACATGGCCCACTGCTTTGCAGCAAATACTTTCACTTCTATCAGTTCCGTTCCAGAAGGGACTCTAGCTTTAATCTAGAACCATGCCAGACATCCATATCCGTATCCCATTTAAAGGTAACAAATCAGACCTGGATAAACCAGAAAGACCAAATTCACTGCCATCGAGTCATAGGCAGGGTTTCTGAGACTGTAAATCTTTAGGGGAGCACACAACCTTGTCTTTCTCCTGCAGGTTTGAACCACTGACCTTGTGGTTAGTAGCCTGGTGCTTACCCCACAGTGCCACCAGGGCAGGCTAGGTATACTTTTCTCTGATCTTTTTAACATGAAAGTCCAGGTTTAGCTAGTCTGAGTCTTAATTAGGAATTGAGACCGTTTCCCCCAAGAAGTGCCCTGTAACTCTGTTGGTGTTTCTGACAAGAGAACGCCCTTCATCCTGCTAAACTTGAGACTTGAACTACCTTGAAGTCCCGGCCTGACCCTCCTTTACTGTGCTTTATGCAAATATGATTTCTCCTTTCACCTAGAGAAACCCCACCCTCTGAAATATTACTGCTGCTAGATTTCATGGAATGTGGAACGTCTCCACTTCTTGGTTTTCACTGAATTCCATTCAGAATTTTTGTTTTGTAGAAAAAATTGGACCAAAAAGTACTCGAGCGAGAAAAACCCAAGAAAATAAACTTACATTATACAACACAGCACTGTACCTACCGAAGTTAGAACATCCAGCCAGACATTAGATTCTGACCTAAAAACCCCTAATCTCAAACAGAAAGACTGAGAACAATCCTTTGATTGCTTTTCACGTTTTTACTCAGTTAGTAGCTGTTCAGTTCCCCTGTAGCGTAGTGGTTACGAATCGGGCTGTGAACCGCAAGGTCAGCAGTTCAAAACTACCAGCTGTTCCAAGGGAGAAAGATGAGGCTTTCTGCTCCCGTAAAGATTTACAGCCTCGGAAACCCTGTACAGGGTCGCTATGAGTCAGAACCGACGCCACGGCACACAGCCACCAGCCACCATCTTTGTACCATGCTTGGTAAAGTGGAGGGTCAACAAAAAACAGGAAGACCCCAACAAGGATTGGCACAGTGGCAGCAGCAATGGACTCAAGTATAACAACGCTTGTGAGGTTGGCCCAGGACCGGGCGGTGTTTCATTCAGTTGTGGTGTCTATGAGTTGGAACCAACTGGACGGCACCTAACAACATCTTTTTAAGAAGCATCCTTGACCAGGTTTCACCTCTCAGAAGTGTAAACATTGGATGACATCTTGTGTTGTGAATCCAACTGAAGAGATACCACTTTTGAGAAGTAAATTTGTTCAGTCTTTTTATAAATCCATTAGAAAATTCATGTTGTCACAATACTGAAAGCACATACCTTTTTTCCAAGTGATTCTACTCCAGGGATTTATCTTCCAAAATACCCACACGAATACACAGAAACCTAGGGATGTTTATAGCTGCTTCTTCCGCTAAGAATTCTACTTGTTCATCTTCCAGAAGTATTGGGTGCTAGCTGGCCATTATCACTGAAGATTTTGATCAAATGTTTTATAGAAGAATTCTGATCAAAAAAGGGAAAATGCAGAACAGAATATCTGGAGCCGTGGAGGTTGGATGAGCCCCAGAAACTAGTGCCCTGAGAGCATCCTTAACACTTAAACCAAAACTATCTCCTGACATTTTCTGAAAATCAGACAGTACTTTAGCTTAACTAGTACAGAGTTTCTGCCTTGAGCACTGTGCTCTTTTAAAATCTGTCTTTATAGGATCAAAGTGACAGCGGCAACTCCAAGTAGAAACCTTGGGCAGGGAGTTAATGTTAACGGGGAGAACACCTCAGAAACGGGGTGTGAGTCACGGAATTGTACTTGTAGAAATGGTTGCATTGGTGTATTTTTTCTGTGTATATTGTATTCTCAACAACAACAATAAAATAAGAGTAAAGAAGAAATTTTTTTTTTAATTTCTAATGCACTAGCAGAGTCCTGGTATGGTGCTGCAGGCTAATACACTGGACTGCAAAGTTGGTGGTTCAAGCTCACCAACCGCTCCTCAGAAACCCTATACAGGGTCGCTATGAGTCGGAACCGACTCAGTGGCACTCAACAACAACAACAACAATAGTATCTGAAGGAGCCCTGTCAGCACTGTGGATTAAACATCGGGTACTAATTCAAAGGCCAGCAGTTCAAACCCACCAACCGCTCTGAGGAAGAACAATGAGGCAGTCTGCTTTAAGATTTACAGCAAAGGTGAGGAACGTACAAGGCCCACAAAATCATTTGGTTTGGCTCTGTCGAGGCAACCAAAGTTCCAGCCATCATATTGGAGTGAGTTAATTAAATGTTTGAACAAATATAGCGGGTTAACTTTTAAGTTGATAATTTTGTATGACTCGTGAGTGATGTTACAAATTTTGGCAGAAAAAGGGTTCCCCGCCCCTGATTTGGAGTCCTGGTGTGGCACTACGGGTTAATACACTGACTGCAAAGTCGGTTTGAACCGCAAGGTGGGCAGTTCAGACACACCACCTGCTTCTTGACAACCCTATACAGGGTCACTATGAGTCAGAACCAACTCGAAGGCACTTAACAACAGCCCCTGAGTTACAGTGTCAGAAACCCTAAGGAGCGGCCCTACTCATAGTGTTGCCATGAGTCCGAATTGACCCGATGGCTGTGGATTTAGTTTGGGGTTTAACCAAGATTTGGTTTCCTGACTTTAGGAAAGGTCAGGTCTGCCCTCCTCTCTGCAGTCTGCCCCCCAGCACAGGAAGAGCTACGATGTCCATAAAAGTTAAGGAACCCACTTCCCCGTCCTGTGTTCAAACATGAGAGCTCTCTAGCTCAGCATTCATGTGCATGGGAGACTCCCCTCAGGAATCAAGCAGGAGTTTGTGGGAAATTCCCAGAGTCCTTGAGAACAGGAAGCCAAGGTTAGAGGGGATTAGTTGTGCAGACGGACACAGAAATAGCACTGCTAAACCAGTGACTGCCAATGAACTCCGTCCTGTCATCTCTTACCCAACACCTGTCAGATACACCGACCACCACATGCAGAGCCTTGCCTTGTGTCTCCTTGTTCTGTTTTCCTCCCAGACTTGATCTTGCAAAGATGACTTTTAATGGTCTGATTCCAAATGTGGCCCATCTGGTCTCTGTGCACACTGCTACATCCAGGCCTAATAAGCTTGTCTCAGCTTCAGGTGGGTGTTACAGACTGCCCCGGATAAGAAGACTGTAGAAGAATTGATGCATTTGAGTTACGGTGTTGGAGGAAAATATTGAAAGTACCATGGACTGTCAGAAGAACAAACAAATCTGTGTTGGAAGAAGTACAACCAGAGTGCTCCTTGGAAGCCAGGATGGCAAAACTTTGTCTCTCATATTTCGGACTTACTATCAGGAGGGCACCTGTCCCTGGAGAAGGACCTTGTACTTGGTAAAGTGGAGGGTTAGCGAAACAGAGGAAGACCCCCAACAAGATGGATTGGCACAGTGGCATCAGCAATCGGCTCAATCGTGGCAACAATTTTGAGGATGGCACAGAACCAGGCAGTGTTTCATTCTCTTGTACGTAGAGTCACTAGGAGTTGATGCCAACTTGGAGGCACCGAAACACAAGCTGCTTCTCGGAAACCCTATAGAGGAATGGTAGATAACAACAACAACGCTCTATGGAGCCCACGGGAATCAACTTCCTATGTCTGTGGGAGGGAATGGTGGAGAAGCTCAGTACCATCAGCCAGAACAAGGCCACAGACGACTGTGGGAAGCACCATCAGTTGCCCCTATGCACGTTTCCGGGTCGGATGTAGCAGTTCTCTGAGTGACTGAGCCCAGCGATGACACGCCACACCCTCCACTCCTAGCCTCCTGGAGACTGGCCGAAAGTGGCCCTCTGCCCTCTGTCCACCCAATAACTGTTCCTGCCCCATCCCCACGACTTCTGAGAGCATCCAAACATTGATGAGGGGTGGGCTGGGTATAGCCCCTTCCCCCAATTCACACACATGATGGAGAGGGGGTCCATCGGAGTGCCAGCACGTAGAGACCCCTCACTTCTCAGAGAACAGAGGTCTCGTACATATAGTGACCACCCCCACTTCACACACAGCCCAGACCGGGGTCCCATCCGTCTCCACCCCAGCAGAGCGCATGCTGGACTGCAGCTGTGATGACGCCGTGTGGGATCACTGGCTGGAAGCGGCTGGACGGCTATGGGCTGCTTGGATGCCGATGTTGCTGTCTGCCCTCAGGTTGCCTTGGAATCGCTAGCTGCTCCCAGCCAGGCCAGGGACAGGATATTGTGGCCACTGACGGCGATGCTTGGAGGGAGCAGAGGGTCTGACATGACCCCCACTGTGCTCACCCATCTGGACTCGGATGGGACCCCCGCCACCCCCCAACTCATCTCCCGCGGATGCTGGCCTTAGTGTAGCCTCCCCTGCCCCTTGAGAAAACACAGGGGTAACAGCCCTGCCCATTCAACATGTAGGTGTGCAGAACCCCCACCGTAGGCTCAGGGGGTCTTTGAGCCCGGTGACCCCACATGACAAGGGTGGCAGGTGATAGGAACAGGCCAGGTGCAGACCAGGGGGCTAGGAACCAGGAGGAGGACATGTTGGCCTCACAAGGCTGCTTCTCATGGGGGGTGGGCGCACGTTCCCCAGGTCCCAGTCCTGTTCCCGTCCCCGCTGACACCCCCACCTCTGTCACATTGGAACCCCCCATCCTCTGCCCCAATGCCGTGGGGTCAGACAGGCCATTGTCCTCTTGTTTCCATGTGTCCCTTGTTGTCGGCAGGTGCTGGCCTGGACGGCGTGGAGGAGATTAAACGACATCCCTTCTTTGTGACCACTGACTGGAATGTAAGTTCACACCACATCCTTCACACACAATGTGAGCAGTAAACGGGGTGGGGGGTGACGGAGCTGCGTGGGCACAGCGGGTTCAGTGTCCAGGCAGTGAGCCCTTGTGTGTCTGCGAAGACCAGGCCTAGGTCCCAGGAGGCAGGCCACTGACCACCCCTCCCTGCCTGCTTTTCAACCATCAGATCCAGAACTTTCCTTTGCTGCTTCAAGATAGGACTTTAATTGGCTGCGTAACCCTAACCCTGTTTCCAGGGCAGCCACAAGTCCATCCCCAGGGATAACCCCCTATCCAGCCCCCAGGGAGGAGACTTTCCCAACTGACCAGAGGGCTCATCTTGCAGGACAAGGACCACCCAGGGTCCTGAGCCCGGCTACATGGCCCTTCCTCGTGTCAGGGTGAAGAATTTCCAATCTCACCCCTGTTCTTTTATCTCACCAGACTCACCGCACCCCCCGCCCCATACCCAGCACTCTGGTCCGAGTTGTTCATTGCTATCAAATCAGGCCCGGCTCACGGTGACCCCCAGCTCAAAGGAACAAACGGCTGCTCTATCCTGGAGCACCCACGATTGGGTACAGACCACACTCTTGTGATTCACCCTGGCTGATTTCCAGTCTGCCTGGAAGCTCAGCTGACACCTGTTCAGTGTCATGGTGACAACAAGCCCCCACTGACAGATGAGTGTCGGTATACAAGGTGTACTAGCTGGGAATCAAGCCCGGCTCTGCCTCGTGGAAGGCGGGGATCCAACCCTGGTCGCTACAGAAGCCACACAAAGCTGCTGGCGCCATGTTGTTAGATGACAGACGGGTGCTTCTTTCAGGAAGCGCAGCCTGCGTGGCCCGTTCTCCACAGCCCTGTTTTACATGCTTGGCTCTGGATACTGCCTGAAGAGTTCCCACGTCCCCCTCCTCACCAAGCACCTCAGAAGGATCAACGTGCCTGCCAACCACGTGGGCCACGTGATACCTGGCATCAGAGAAACTGCGCCTGCTCTGTGTACCCCAGGGAATGGTACAGCCTGCAGGCCAAATTCTCTCACTCCTTTTCCAAATGTCACCTTGCCTCTGACACTTGTCCCAGAAGCCCCACTCAATACCCCATCTCTTCTCCACACACCCATCCCCTGTGTCTTGAGCTGTGGTTTCCATATCCCTGCCCACCTTGTAAAGTCCTGCCCAACATTGCCAATGTATGATGACCGGACCGTGGACTGTCAGGAGAACAAACCCTCTTAGAAGCAGCTCAGCTAGGATGCTCCTTCCATGAGAAAATGATGAGACAGGGGCTTGAGTAATCTGCACACGTCCTTAAGAAAGACTGGCCTTCATCCTCAGCCAAGCACAGGCAGAAACGTGATGCGTAATGCTGTACCAGAACATCCCATGTTCAGTGACCACCGCAGCGATGATGTGAACACAGGAGAGGAAGGGACAAACCCCAGACAGGAGTAGGGAATGGGACAGAGTCGCACCGAGGGCTGTGGGCACCCAACTTTCGGGAGCAGGGTCTCACGTGTCTATGGGAGCTTTCTTTCCCCAGACCCAACGGGTCACGCCTGGTCAGGGGACAGATGGACACTCATTGGGTCCTGCAATATCGGCTATTACAGTCATTAAAGGGGCATTGTACTTAGGGGTGCTTTTGTCCACTCTGCTTCTTAGCAGCTCTGAGAAGGGGAACCCCAGTGGACATTCATTAACTGACCCATGACATTTCACCGCACACCAAGCACATGCCTCAGGATGCAGCCCGGAAATGGGATATGTGTTTCTCTGCTTCTTCTGTGATCCGAAACTGCCGATAGCTAGCCGTCCGTTGGATTTTCTTTTTTTTGAAAACAGCTGTTGTCAAACCTTCCTCTGGAACAGCTGGGTGTGTGCTGGGGCAGAGCGAGTCCTCCATCCACCATGCTAGCAACCCTACATTCACACTCGTGCTCCGGCGACCAGTGAGTGAAGAGTGTCCAACTGAAACTTCTGGAGAGAGGAGCTCAGTGCATGGAAGCTGCATCTGTTGTCTCCGAGGCTGAGATCCATGTGCACAAACCCAAGATGGCCCTAAAGAAGCCATGTGAGCCCGTCCATGGTGGCTGCGGTCAGCCTGGGGCCATCTCAGGAGGACAGGAAGGGACAGCTACAGAAAATACTGCCTGTTTCTCTCCAGCCTCTGATACCACCTGTCAGAGCAGAAGTACCAGTCAAACCCCTTCATCTTCTGCTGAGCACGCGACGGCAACTGCATGAAACTACCACCCTCTAAACTGACAAAAACTGGTGGGCTCTGATGGGCTCCAGACCAGGGCCAGAGTCTGCGTGGGGGTTAGCGTGCACTTGGTCTCCCCCTCAGTTATTGTTGTTAGGTGCCATCGAGTCGGTACTGAATCATAGTGACCTTACACACAACAGAAGGAAACACTGCCCAATCCTGGACCAACCTCACAATTGGTGCCACGCTTGAGCCCATTGATGCTGCCACTTGGCCAATCCATCCTGCTGGGGGTCTTCTTCTTTTTCTCTGACCCCCCCCCCCACACACACACACACACACCTTACCAAACATGATATCCTTCTCCAGCAACTGGTCCCTCCGAAGGATGAGAGACTAAGTTTGCTCATCCTGGCCTCCAAGGAGCTCTCTGGCTGCACTTCTTCCAACACAGATCTGTTGGTTCTTTTGGCAGCCCATGGCACTTTCAATATTCTCCTCCAACACCACAACTCAAAAG